AGAAGGTTAGAAGTGATCGAGGTGGTGAGTACGAAGCACCGATTGGTGACTTTTGTGCAAGTGTAGGTATTATACACGAGCGTACGGCACCTTACTCACCTCAATCAAACGGTGTTGCCGAACGAAAGAATCGTACATTGAAAGATATGATGAATGCGATGCTTATAAGTTCGGGCCTACCTCAGGATGCGTGGGGTGAGGCGATTTTGACAAGTAATTACCTTTCGAACAAGGTACCCCGCAAGAAGCTCGATAAGACGCCTTATGAGCTGTGGAACGGTAGGAAACCTTCCTACCAGTACTTGAAAGTGTGAGGGTGTCTTGCAAAAGTATTGGTGCCAACACCTAAGAAAGTAAAGATAGGTCCTAAGAAGGTGGACTGTATCTTTATTGGCTATGCACATAATAGTAGTGCTTATCGATTCTTAGTACATGAGTCTCATAATCCGGACGTACACGAGAACACGATAATAGAATCAAGGAATGCATATTTCTTCGAAAATATATTTCCTTGTAGGTCCAACGAGGGACCAAGTATGTCAAAACGAACGTTTGACGAAACTATGGATAATGATAGTGGGGAATCTGAGAAACAACCCGAGCTCGAGCCGAGACGCAGTAAGCGGGCAAGAGTTGGAAAATCATTCGGTCTTGATTTTCTAACTTACTTGTTAGAGTATGATTCGGGTACTCTAACTTGTTTATTAGAAATGAATCCGATTTTCTATCTTGTTTGATAGAGAACGAGCCTCGAACGTATGTAGAAGTCGTGACTTCTACGGAAGGACCAATGTGGAAAGAGGCTATCAAAAGTGAAGTGGATTCTATCCTACAGAATCACACTTGGGAACTTGTTAATCTTCCTCCGGGTAGTAAACCCTTAGGATCCAAGTGGGTCTTTAAAAGGAAGATGAAACCTGATGGTTCCATCGAGAAGTATAAGGCTGGGCTTGTAATCAAGGGTTACAGGCAACGCGAGGGCCTTGATTACTTCGACACGTATTCTCCCGTGATGAGAATAAACTCCATTAGGATGATACTTGCCATAGCCGCGCTGCGGAACTTGGAAGTTCATCAAATGGACGTTAAGACCGCTTTCCTAAATGGTGAATTAGATGAGGAAATCTATATGGAATAACCCGAAGGGTACGTGGTTCCATGCCAAGAAAGGAAAGTGTGTAAATTGATTAAATCGCTATATGGTTTGAAACAAGCGCCTAAGTAGTGGCACGAGAAGTTTGACCATGCGATGTTAACTAACGGGTTTAAAATAAACGAAAGTGACAAATGTGTCTGCGTTAAGGAAACGATAGACGGCTACGTCATTCTTTGTTTATATGTCGATGATATTCTCATCGTTGGTAGTAATGATCGGATGATCAAGTCTACCAAGAACATGTTAAATGCGAGATTTGACATGAAGGATATGGGTTTGACTGATTTAATCCTCGGGATTAGAATCATTAGAAGACCTGATGGTCTCGTGTTGAGCCAATCACATTATATTGACAAAATCCTTGAGAAATTTAAAAAGGATGATGGTGAAATGGCTAGAACACCGGTTGATACAAACATTCATCTAACCAAGAACCACGGAGAAGGTATTTCACAAGTGGAATATGCTCGGGTTATTGGTAGTTTGATGTATCTTATGAGTTGTACTAGGCCGGATATTTCCTTTGCGGTTAGTAAACTCAGTAGATATACGAGTAACCCCGGTGTTATGCACTGGAAGGCAATAGTAAAGGTTATGAGATACTTGAGGTATACTCGTGATCTTGAACTGCACTACGGGAGATATCCCGCTGTACTTGAAGAGTATAGCGACGCGAATTGGATATCTGATATTAAAGACTCTAAGTCCACGAGTGGCTACGTGTTTACACTAGCCGGTGCAGCCGTTGCATGGAAATCCTCTAATCAAACTGTGATAGCTAGATCCATGATGGAATCTGAGCTGATAGCCTTGGACAAAGGTTGTGAAGAGGCTGAATGGCTACGCCATTTTATAGAGGATATTCCTAATTGGGAAAGACCGGTACCTCCAATATGTGTGCATTGCGATAGTCAAGCCACAATTGGGAGAGTACAGAGTCATATGTATAATGGTAAGTCTAGACACGTGCGTCGTAGACATAATACCATTAGACAACTGCTCACAACTGGTGTTGTCTCGATTGACTACGTAAAGTCAAAAGACAATATAGCGGATCCGCTGACCAAAGGGTTAGGCAAGGAAGTTGTGGAGAAGTTGACACGAAGAATGGGTCTAATGCCCTTGGACTAAAAAGTTCTATAGTGGATCACCTAGGTTCAATGGGACAACTAAACTATGGAACGGAGCGCGTTACTTTGGGGGTCTCGGACTCCCTACCACTCCTCGTTAAAACAGTGACTCCCGCACGAGGCTAACATGCTAATGCTTTAATGATTCTTGAGTATGCGGGATACTCGAGAAAGAATCACCTATGTTAGAGAGAAGTGAGGGTCGCTTCAAAGGAGAATTGTTGGTAACCCATCAATACACGTTAAATAGTATATATATAGATAAGTATAAGTCAAAACCATTTTCGAAACGGAATACAGTATATATCATTTCAAAAGCCATAGAGAGAAGTCAACTTCAAAGACTCATTCACACTCTCAAAAGGGAAGGAAATCGACATCCTTACGACAACAACAAGACAAGAATACCAATTGTAACCAATACAACTTGAGATGTATTCTACTGATCACAAAGTAGAATACATCAAGACATGCTCATTAGCAAAGAATAGACATTCACACATTGGCAACTACATGCCACAGTGACAACTACATGTCACAAGTTTCACAGTTCCAACCTTATGCCCTGTTCCAACCTTATGGCTACCCCCGGCCTTATTTCAGTTCCAACCATTACCTCCGAGTGCCACCCTGTACTTCTGAGTCCAACCTTATACCTCTAGGGACCGTCGTCCCCCCTCCAACATACCACCTACATATGAGTACACGAGGGTACTATTCATTTCATTCACACAACCACCTACATATGAGCCTACGCTCAGGTCGCACCACCAATTTCAATCATAGTCACACAAGTCATCATCATTACCAAGAAGACTAAGGTTCCACAATAACCTTAATCAATTATCAATCAAATGGTACAACGATTACATACGTTCACATCATAGGAATCAATCAATGGATCACAACAAAGATATGAAACCATACTCAACAACGAAGGGTCACAATCCGACACCAAACGATGGTCAACACAAGTTGTCAATCTCAATAGGAAAGAACAAACCGCACATACTAGTATTTCAACGTCAAAATAACATGCTTATCAAACGGGTAAACAAAAGTAGTTCCATAGAACATACAAGACTCAACATCAATCCAACGAATCACAAAGTTGGACCACAAGCACGATTCAAGACACCAAATCCTACATGGATTTCTAACATACCGTTCTAGACATACGAAACATCAAGAAGACTCACAAATAGCCCAATAAAACAACATCGGGAGGTCAAAACATCAATACCGAGTCAAAAGAATCACGGGGAACAAATCCCCGCCAACCAACATATATGTTCCCCGCGGGTGGGGCCATTGGTGGACAACACCTGTGGTTCCTCCCGTGGGTACCAAGCCCACAAGACTTGTTCCCCGCGGGTGGGGCGGCGGGTGGTGCACTGCCCGTCGTTCCGCCCGCGGGTACACCCTGTACTCCAAAATAATTCCTTCGGGGATTTTCAACAACAAGTCCAAAACATCCAAAATCTCACACAATACAACAATATGACTTGAACCCAAGAAATAGCCAAGCAATGGCATACAAAAACCCTAAGAACAAGCTCTAAACATGCATTACCACAAGACAATGCATCAAATCTCACATTTCAACACAAGAATCACAAGTAGAAGCCAAGAAATCATCATATAAGTAAGAAAATAGGTTTTGTAAAGCATGGGTTACCTTTGTAGCCTAAAACTTCACTTTCTCACCCTTAGAAAGCTTCTCCTAAAGCTCTTCTTCCACACCAACTTCATAAATAAACCAAAAGACAACAAAGATTCTATTTTTAGAAAAAGACAACTCAAAGGAGGTTAAAAACACCAAGGGATCAAAGATCTTACCCTCCCCTATGCTCAAGATTAGGAAAGTAGGAATCTTGGAAGACAACTTGCAAGATTTAGGATGCCCAAATTTTAGCTTGGAGAAGAAGCTACCAATCCTTAGAGAGAGAAGTTAGAGATTTTGTGTTTAGATTGTTGGTAGATGAAATGAAGAAATGTTGCTAGGTTAGCATGAAGCACAAGCCTTTGGTAGAAAGACACATTTGCCCTTACTAAAGTTAGAAGAATAAGGAAACAAGGGAACAACCTAAAAAGCATAAGGTACAACCCTTTGACATTGAATAACTAGTCAAATTCTAGTCCTTCGACTATTGAATTTTCAGGATTTTTAAGAATAAATTAATAAGGAGACTAGGATTAATTTTCTAATTAATCCTTGATTGGAGTTTGGATTTACGGGGTGTCACAAAGAAACTCTTCGTCTCCGGCCATGGAGACTAAGAAGTCTCCGGTCGGAGTCCTGTTTTTTTTTTCTTTTTCTTTTTTTTTTTTGTTTTGTTTTTAATTTAAATAATTAATAATTAATTTTTAAAATTTAGTTTTTAAAAAATAATTAATTTGGAAGGATGACCTGTCGACCTGTTGGAAACTTTCAAATTGAAAGAATTGTTTGAAATTGGTTAGTTTAGGGACTCAATTGTTGGATTTTTAGGTTCAGTGGCCTAATTGAATTATCGTGTGTAGTTTGATAGCATATTTGACCCTTATTCCAAAATTTAATTAATAATAACTATGCAACTGTGCACTTCACTTCTTTCTCTTGTGCAACTACTTGTGCACTGAACAAAAGGAAACGAAGCTGCGTAACCATTAAAAAATGAAAATCTACATAACCATATATAGTATTGAATTATTGATCATCCTAACATTCTACATCAAGCACACTCGAAAATGGACAGCAACTCCTCCTCTGCAGCAATAATGCTATCGTCGGAGTCTGCCGTCCGGGGTGCCGGAGACGCCATTTCCCCCTACCTTGGGGAGCTGTGGGTGCAAGCAAAGGCGTTGGTGATCGTGCCGGTGCTCAGAGTTATGGTTTACCTCTGCTTGGTAATGTTGATCATGATACTCATGGAGAAACTATACTTGGGAGCCATCAGTGCTTACCTGAAGCTTTTCCGGCGAACGCCGGCGAAGCAGTACAAGTGGGAGCCTATCAAGAACGATGGCGATGCAGAGATTGGCAACTCTGGTTATCCTATGGTTCTAGTTCAAATACCAATGTGTAATGAGAAAAGGGTAATTTTTTATATATTCATTTTCTAATTTCCTTTTGATATTGTTTTTGGTCTCTTGAGTCTCGAGTCTCTACTATAGTAATATTTTCACTTTTATTTTCAAGTTTCCTATTTTCTTTTTCTAGCATAAAATGCATTATAGATATGATAGGATTACAATTTTTGTATCTCAAGTTTATCTATAGTTATATTTTCACTTCTAATTTTCGAGTATTAATTCATTCGTCATTTTTGGTTTCTTGCATGCACAAATGGATTAAATTTGCTTCAAATTATATGTAATGTCTTCATATCACTTTCACCAACCTTCATCTCTTTTTCATATGAGAATATTTTAAATTGAATTCGGTTTGTAGGGGTTTAAATTTTTTAGACTAAAAATATTTAAAAAATTATAAAACAAATAATACTATTTATAAAGAATCATGAATATTTTAAAAAAAAAATTTTGAATTTGGTTCATTTGAAAAATAAAAACATCAAGAGTCGTCAAACTGATGATAACCAATGACCGTGATCATTTCATTAATTCAAGTCTCACGAATATCTATATATGTGTGTGTGTTTTTTTTCAAAGATGAGTTTCAGTTTTATAATAAATTTTTAAAAAGCCATGCAATGAGATTTGTGTTTTTTAAAGATGTTTCAATTTTATAATAAGTTTTTATGGTTTGATAACATTATTTTTTAGAGGAAATGGTATTTTTTTTCTCCTGAATTATATGTTTATAGTACATTTTTCTTCTGAGTTATTCATGTAAGCACATTAGCCCCCTCAATTATTCTAAAAGTGACAGTTTTTCCCCCCTGATATATTAAATTGACATTTCTATCCTTAAAGTAAACATTTTATTTATTTTTCTTCTCCAACAAGTTATATTGCTTATACGTAGGGATGACTACGGTTCGGTTTTAACTGGACTAGACACTATAGCAATCGAATTGAAAGTTTTCGATTATGATTTAAATCCAGAACCCAATATTTGGATTTCAGTTTATTAAAATTATGAATCGAAAAAACTGGATCCTGAACCGTGAACCGACGGTTCCTGAACCGTGAACCGACGGTTCCGGATCCGGTTCGCGATTTCGAACCGTCTTTATTTTAATTTTTTTTTTTTAAATAGTCTAAATTCAACAATAAATGTATTTTATTTTTTTCTTCCGGTTCGCGATTTTAATAAACTCTAAATATCCTATTTTGTTCTTAATTGTAATTGGAATATTTCGGTTTAGTTGCTATAGTGTCTGTTCGGTTTGAACCGAATCGTGGTCATAATTTGTTGGAGAAGAAAAATAAATTGAAATATTTATTTTAAGGGTAAATATGTCTATTTAACATTTCAGGATGAAAAATAGTCACTTAAATAATTTAGTGGGAAAAAGTACTATAAGTATATAACTCAAGGAGAAAAGGTTTCATTTTCCTTTATTTTTATCATTCTAAATAAAAGGTCACAGGTTCGAAACAACTATTATACATACATAGGGTTAGATTATAGTTATAAAAATATAAATATTTTAAAAAGCCATGAAATGAGTTTTTTGTTTTGTATATAGGTATACCAACTGTCCATTGGAGCAGCCTGTAACCTTTCATGGCCAGCGAATCGAATTATAATTCAAGTTCTTGACGATTCTACTGATTCTGAAATTAAGGTATGTCCGATGAATTGATTACTATAAATTATATGTTCTCATTTCTTCTCATTCAAGAAACTGAATTATTTTTTGGTTTTGTTTGTAACTTGTGGGATATGTCATAAATTCTTTATAGTTAGTTATTAATTGTTTATAATAAATTAGTCAATTCAAGATATTAGATGAAGTCACATCATTTTAGAGCAAAATTATTAAAAACAAATTATTAGTGACATCACACATGTATTACTCTTTTAAACTATAACAATTCTATTTCTACGAATTATATACACATATTTTTATTTTGTTCTCATTTATCTAAAAATAAATTAATGGACTATAATTTCAATTATTTTTTCTCTTCTATCAATAAAATCATAATATGTAGCAATTTTTTTACCTAAAAATGTGCAGTAATTAAATTAGTCCATGAAAGTCTATATATCATTTTTCTTTTTGTACTAAAATTTTTACACCAATATTTAACGTCATGTCAGGAGACAAAAAGTATAACATTAATAAAACCATATTTGATTGGACTTTTATTCTATAACTCTATCTTACTCCAAGTCTTCACTCTCAATTTTTTTTATAAAAATAAAAAATAAAAATCCGTGGGGACAAGTGCGGATGTAACACTTTTAATAAGTTATTGCATCCACAAGTCAAAAAAAAAAAAAAAAAAAAAAAAAAAAAGAGGAGTAAGAAGAAATCCAAATATTATTTTCCTTTTTATAAAAATGGGATATTAATGTAGAGTACTGTACATATATACTAATATACTCTATATTGTTACTCCAAAAGGCTGAAATATTGTTATTTCTACTGGCATAACACTGTTGGAAATTATGAAATTTCCGACAACCTGAAAATGATCTTAAATCAAGTCGAAAGTCTTGTTCCGACCACTTTTGGTATCTAGAAAAACCTTTGTTGCTATTTCCGATCACTTTTTGCATTCGACTTGATATAAGATCACTTTCAGGTGATCGAAAATTCCATAATTTCCAGCAGTGATAATACGTACATTTCGATTCATGCATGCATGCAAAAAAAAAAAAAAAAAAAAAAAAAAAAAACGAATTACCATTCCCCATCAATGTATTTGGTAATGATACACAATCAACAGGCTTTGGTCCAACAAGAGTGCAGGAGATGGGCAGGTAAAGGGGTGAACATAAAGTATGAGACTAGAGATAATAGAAAAGGGTTCAAAGCAGGATCCCTCAAGCAAGGAATGAAGCATAGCTATGTTAAGTTGTGTGAATACGTAGCTATTTTCGACGCTAATTTCGAACCCGACCCTGATTTCTTGTACCGCACCATTCCTTTCCTTGTACATAATCCTGACATCGGCCTTGTTCAAGCTCGCTGGAAATACGGTATTATATATACAAACTTTTACAAATTGTTACGTTTCTATTCTTTTCTTTCTTTATTAAAATGTCATCAATCATGTGATCTGATTTTTTAAAATATGAAAGTATTATTTAATGTGTTATCTTAAGAACTGTATAATTGTTCATTCTTCAAAATAAAGCAGAATAATTTAATGGTTAGCAACTTCTTTAAGAAATCTAATGGCCAATGTGGCAATATTTAGGTGGTATATATATGTCAATTGTCAATATCTTCAACTTTTTTAGTCAAGTGGACTGGTTGGCTGCATTCAATTCTGGCTGTCCATTGATTCCATTGACCACTATCTGATACTATGTCAAGTTCTATTTATATCTGATCTATAGTATTATGAAAAAATTGGAAATAGATTGGAAGTTACAAATGTTTTTATAAAACACTAAATGCTGGGATGTGATTTCTTAATTAGTTGAAGGATTGATTTTACAACTCTATTGATTCTTTAATAATTGAATGACTAGATTTGTATGTAGAATATAATTTGTGAAAGTTTTTTGCTGGTCAAAGAAATCATATATCTTTAAATTGTAATGGCATGCAGTTAACTCTAACGAATGCATGCTGACAAGACTGCAAGAGATGTCAATGGATCACCATTTCTCAGTGGAGCAAGAAGTTGGGTCTGCAATCCATGCATTTTTTGGCTTCAATGGTAAGCTCTATATATATACACATTATAAACAGTATTATATTGATAAAGATTAGAGTTGTCAACACAAACTACTATATTCTAACTCATAAAATACCAATCATTTGCCAATTCTATCCGGTCAAGTTGAGCTGCTTGGATAGTTGTAATAAAGATTGCAGGCAGATACTAAAAGGATGAAAATTGGAATGCAGGAACGGCAGGTATCTGGAGAATAACAGCATTGGACGATGCAGGGGGATGGAAAGACCGAACCACTGTGGAAGACATGGATCTGGGTTGCCGAGCTGGTCTTAAAGGCTGGAAATTCGTCTTTGTTGGTGATGTTAGGGTAACTTTAATTTCTAGCCACTTTTATTGGGAAATTCTATTTACATCACCTATTTTGCTATTTGCACCACCTATTTAGTAGGCCAAATAGCTTTATAGGTGGTGTAAATGCAAATTTGCTATTTACACCACTAGCATTAAAAATGGTCAAAGATTATTATTTATTTTTTATTTTTTTAAATTAAAAATATTAAAAATAAAAAAGAATTAAAAAAAAAAAAAAAAAAAAACCAACCTCCCGTCACCTTCTCCGGTGAGAAGGCGCCCCAGTGGGTTGTCTTCTCCGGTAAAAAGGCAACCCAATGGGTTGTTAAAAAAAAAAAAAAAAAAAAAAAACCAAACCTCCCGTACCTTCTCCGGTGAGAAAACACCCCAGTGGGTTGCCTTCTCCGGTGAGAAGGCAACCCAGTGGGTTGTTTAAAAATAAAATAAAATAAAAAATCCGGCGTTCTCACCGGAGAAGACGACCCATGTAGCCTTCTCCGGTGAGAAAGCAACCCAGTGGGTTGCCTTCTCACCGGAGAAGGCAGCCCAGTTGCCTTCTCCGGTGAGAAAGCACGGGAGAAGGACGGATTTTTTTAAAAAATTTTGAATTAATTAATTATTATTTAAACCTAATAAATGTGATTTAATTAAGATGGTGAAAATAGCATTTTGACCACTCATTAGGCTATTTACATCACCTATGTATTTATTATAAGTTTTTAACTTTTTATATTTTCAATACACTTTTTACCCCATTTTGGTCAAAGGGGGTGCAAATAGCAACACCCCTTTTATTTTATGCTTCCTGCAAGAGCCGATAATATACATACATATGTACATAATTTATTACCTCCTCCATCAAAAGAATACAACTCATCATTACATTAAGGAGAAATAACCATTTTAGTCTTTCAATTGTTTTTCAACTGTTAATGTAATTCTTAATTTTCAATTTCAACTAACTTGATTCTCGAATTGTTTAAAATTTCGTCAATGAACCAAATTGACGAAATTTTAAAAATGTAGAAAGCACCATTTTGGTCCCTGAAAGGGTTTAATTGACGAAATTCTAAACAGAGGATCAAATTGGCTATAATTAAAAACTAGGGACTACATTAATAGTTGGGAAATAGTTGAAGGATCAAAATAGTAATTAAGTCTTAAATTAAAGGAATAAGGGTCAAATAAGTCATCGAACCGCACACAATAATGCAATTAGGTCATTGAACTCGAAAAAGCAACAATTAATTCTCTAAACTAACCCATTTCAAACAATTTGTCCAATTTACAGGTTTTCTCCTTTTTAACAAGTCACTCAATTTAAAATATATTTTAAAAATAATTTTTTAAAAAAAATAAACTAAAATTATTTATTAAAAAAAAAAAAAAAAAACTTCACACGGAGACGAAGATCCCTTCTTCGTCTCTGGCCGGAGACGAAGAGTCTCCTCGTCTCCATGGCTGGAGACGAAGTTTTTTTTTTTTTTTTAATTTTAGTTTATTAGGGAGAAAACATGCAAATTGGACAAATTGTTTGAAATGAGTTAGTTTAGGGACTTAATTGTTGCTTTTTTGAGTTCAATAGCTTAATTGCATTATTATGTGCGGTTCAATGACCAATTTGACCCTTATTCCTAAATTAAACGACGATCAACGAGGGGCAATCCCAACTAGGCACGACCGTTGGTTCATGGTTTTGGAAGATGATAAATTGGAACAATAACATTTATAAAGATTCTAGTTCTTTCGGTTCAACCTGAGTTTTTTTTTTTTTAATAATTCTATTATTTATTTTTTAAATAGTCCAAATTAAACAATTATTATTATTATTTTAAAATTCTTTCATTATGAAATTTTTAAAAATGAATTATATGAAATATTTAAACTTCAAAGTTAAATTAAAAAAAAAATACTTTTAAAAGACATTTTTAATGGCCTCTGTCAGGCTTATTTTATTTTATTTTTTAATTTAGAATCAACCGATGAGAACTGATTGTATTATATTTTCTGAACTTGATTACAATGAGATCAGATGATGTGAATATATAGAATAGAGAGTCACAGTGTGACAATGATAAGAAGTAGAGAGTCACAGTGTGACAATGATAAGAAGTTCTAAACAGACTCATATACATAGAGTCCTAATACTCCCCCTCAAGAACAGTGTATACTAGTAACCTGTAGCTTGTCCCTTAAGGAAGAAAATCTAGGTCCAGGCAGAGCTTTGGTGAAGATATCAGCAAGTTGATCCTTTGTGGAGATGAAGTTGACTTGGATATCGCCCGAAGCTACTCGATCACGAACAAAATGATAATCAATCTCCACATGCTTGGTGCGCGCATGAAAGATTGGATTGGCACTCATATATGTAGCTCCTAGATTATCACACCATAATTTTGGAATGGAAATACCCGGAATCTGTATCTCACGCAATAATGACATAATCCATAGAACCTCAGCACAAACATCTGCAAGAGCTTTGTATTCAGCCTTAGTGGATGACCTGACAACAGTTCTCTGTTTCTTGCAAACCCATGATATAAGATTACTCCCCAAGAAAACAGCAAAACCACTCGTGGATTTTCGATCGTCAGGACAACCAGCCCAATCAGAATCAGAGAAAGCATGAATGTCTCTAGATGAGCACCGTCGTATGCGTAAACCATGATCAACTGTTCCCTTAACATACCTGAGTACCCGTTTGAGCTGCTCCCAGTGTGATATGGTGGGGGCATGCATATGCTGGCATAACTGATTAACTGCAAAGGATAGGTCAGGTCGTGTGACAGTGAGATATTGCAGTGCTCCAGCTAGACTCCTGTACTGTGTGGGATCATCATATAGATCTGAATTGAAGGGGACAATTTTCGAGACAGAGACAGGTGTAGAAAGGGGTTTGCATTCAGACATTCCAGCCCGTTTTAAAATATCATTCATATACCGTTGTTGAGATAAAATAATCCCATTGTCACTCTTAACTATTTCAATACCCAGAAAAAAAATTTGGTTCACCAAGATCTCTGATTTTGAATGTAGCAGACAGTTTGGACAAGAGCTGAGACATAATACCTTGATCACTTCCCATTACAAGAATGTCATCCACGTACACCAATAGATAAACCAAAGCAGAGTCTTTAGAGTAATAGAACAGAGAGACATCTGTCTTGGATGCTTGAAAGCCAACCGATAGTAAGAACGTATGTAGTCGATTAAACCAAGCTCTGGGAGCTTGTTTTAACCCATACAGAGATCTTTTTAACAAACAAATATGATTCGGGAAGTTAGCATCAATATAACCAGGGGGTTGCTTCATATAAACTGTTTCAGCCAGATTACCATTCAGAAAAGCATTATGAACATCTAGCTGTTTGATAGACCACCCAGATGATAAAGCTAGAGATAGAAGGAGTCTTACAGTCGTAGGCTTTACCACTGGACTAAAAGTGTCGAAGAAGTCCTGACCTGGAACCTGATTAAAACCTTTCGCAACCAGCCTGGCTTTATGCCTTTCAATAGCACAATCAGCCTTTCTCTTCGTACGAAACACCCATTTACAGCCAATAATATTCATACCTGCAGTGGGTGGAACTAGAGACCATGTGTGGTTATGCAGGAGAGCATTGAATTCTTGGTCCATGGCTTCACGCCACTCAGGATATTTGACAGCTTGAGAGTAACATGTGGGTTCTGTGGGATGCACTTGAGCTGCTAGAGCAAAAAGAGGAGCATCTGCGTTGCTGCGAGTGGCCATAGAGTGAGTACGGACATTGGGCCTGATGGACCGCCCACGTGGACGGCCTCGCCGGCGAGCAACAGGCTCCACAGGATCACCCGACGAGGCAGCCTGTCCAGGATCCACGGCTGGTTCGAATGAAGCAGGTAGCGGCGGTTCTGGCAGCTCATCATTGGACACGGCAGGAATAGGTGTGTTGTGACTGAGAACAGATTCCGCCCAAGGTCCAGAAAACGGAGTAGATAGATCCTGCAAAGAAGTTTTAGTAGCAAAGGGGAAAACTTCTTCATCAAATCTGACATGCCTGCATGTGTAAATCTTATTAGTATGTAAGTCCATGCATCTGTACCCCCTAAAGGACTCAGGATAACCTAGGAAGACACATGGAAAAGACCTGTATGACATCTTATGACGATTATATGGTCAAAGATGAGGGTAGCATAAACACCCAAAGACACGAAGAAAAAGATAGGAAGGAGGGGATTTATGTAACAGGAGATGAGGACTGGAGTTATTTAATACATAAGATGGCATTCTGTTAATTAAATAGACAGCAGTCTCAAAGGCAAAATCCCAAAATTTCAAAGGAACAGAGGCATGAGCTAGAAGAGCCAGACCAGTTTCAACAATGTGACGATTTTTTCGTTCAACACGACCATTCTGTTCATGTGTATAGGCACAGGATTGTCTATGTTGAATTCCTAATTGAACAAACAAAGAATGCAACTTTTTGTACTCAGCACCTAAATCAGACTGAATGGCCTTTATTTTGCAATTAAAGGACCGTTCAACAAGAGTACGAAATTTATCAAAGATGACATAAAGATCAGACTTTAATTTCATAGGAAAGAACCATGTATAACGGGAATAGCCATCCACAAAGATCACAAAATAACGGAAGCCAGAAGTAGATAAAGTGGGCGCAGGACCCCAAATGTCTGTGTAAATAAGATCTAGGACTTGAGAACTAGAGGAAGCAACACGGGGGAGGGGAAAACGGGCAGATTTGCCTAATTTACACGCATTGCATAAAGAATTATGACAACGAATATTATCACGAGACCCACTAACCAAACAAGAACGAAGTATATGGTTAAGAACACGGTTATGAGGATGACCTAGACGATTGTGCCAAGTGGAAGCCGAGGCACGAGCGGAAATAAACGTTGACGGAGACGAACTAGGTAATGAAAGTGTGTATAGTCCCCCCGAACTATTGCCCCGAAGAAGTATTTCCTTGGTATTGATATCTTTTACAACAAAAAAGGAGGGGTGAAACTCAAAAAAGACTTTATTATCTGATGCAAACTTCTGAACAGATAATAAAGAATTAGACAAACGCGGAACGTGAAGTATATCAGACAATGTAAATGATCTAGAAGGGGTATTAAAAGAGGCATGGCCAACATGACTAATAGATAAACCCATACCGTCACCGACACGTAAAGTGTCATTACCAGTGTACTTCTCCGATGTAGAAAGGGCAGCGATGTTCGGAGTTGCATGATTTGTGGCTCCAGTGTCCGGAACCCAAGTATGAGAATTTGATGAGGTTTTAGCAACTAAACCATTCTGAAACACCAAATTAGCCTGAGAACCCGGAGCCCCTGAGTATCGCCGAAAACAGTTGACTCCCGTGTGACCGAAACTTTTGCAAATTTGACACAGATCATTATAGCGCCAAAAACAATTGGCTCCCGTGTGACCAAAATGTTTACAAATTTGACACGGATCATCATAGCGCCAAAAACAATTGGCTCCCGTGTGACCAAAACGTTTACAAATTTGACACGGATCATCATAGCGCCAAAAACAATTGACTCCTGTGTGGCCGAAACCTTTACAGATTTGACACGGATCATCGAAGCCACGTTGCTGACCTCCACGGTAATTAAGGTTGCCATCGCAGCGCTGCATCTTCTTAATTTTATGAATCACAAAACCCTAGCTAACTGATACCAGATGAGAACTGATTGTATTATATTTTCTGAACTTGATTACAATGAGATCAGATGATGTGAATATATAGAATAGAGAGTCACAGTGTGACAATGATAAGAAGTAGAGAGTCACAGTGTGACAAGGATAAGAAGTTCTAAACAGACTCATATACATAGAGTCCTAATACAACCGACCGTTTCCCAATTTTATCAAATCGGAAATGAAATTTTGTGGGTTTTGATTCTATTTCTATCGTGTCTGATTCAATTTGAATTGTCGGTTCGAATTAGATTGTTCAAATCGAATCATAATTATTCCTATTTAATCAAGTTGATAAAATTGTTGACTTGGTAATTATATAATTATTAGTATTTTTTATGCGCGATGCGCAAAAAATAGGTGCCCAATATTAATACATTATATTAAAATTTTAAATTTATTTAGATTTTAGATGTTTAAATTATTCTAAATAATAATAATAATAATAATAATAATAATAATAATAATGTAAATCATTTTTATAAATTTGATATTTATATTTATGTAATAATTAACATATAACTCAAATATTTAATATGTATATATTATTATTAATGAAGAAGATAAGAAAATATATGGTGGATGCATGTGCATGGTAACAATAGTGGAAAAGATAACGGAAGTTATAACGGTAGTGGTATGTTTGTCCAAAATATTTTAATGTACAACATTTATTGCATAATGTACAAAAAAAATAAAAAAAAATAAAAAAAAATAAAAAAAACTTAACGGAAAAAACGGACATAAATCAGGGGTATAACTTTCATTCACACTCCGACCTAATAGAGCATTTGGAAGGATGTAAATCATGGTAACTCAACTGAACATGAACCACAGAGGCTAGACCTTTGCTCACTGCGCACAAGGAACCCTCGCTTTGGCTATTATTATTACTTGCTGAAGTTGTCTCTGTTTGAATAACAAGAATATAATACTCCGTAGGTGAAAAGTGAATTACCAAGCAGCTTCAAGGCATACAGATACCAGCAGCACAGGTGGTCATGTGGCCCTGCCAATCTTTTCAAGAAAATGACATTCGAAATTATGAGAAACAAGGTAGGTACTTATATTAGAGACAGGAAACTCATCAACTTAATTACAATCACTCAAACATTTATATATATTACAATGAATTGAAAAACCTTATTCATTAATATATTTTACCTTATATTAAACCTTTGCAGAAAGTGACAATCTGGAAGAAACTGTACCTAATATACGCCTTCTTCTTCGTCAACAAGATTGTCGCCCACGTTCTCACCTTCATCTACTACTGCCTCGTTCTCCCAGCAACTGTTTTGATCCCAGAAGTCAAAATTCCCCTTTGGGGATCTCTTTACGTCCCAACAGTTACTGCCCTCCTCACTCTACTTCCTTGTCCAAGGTACATGTTAGGATCTACGCCAAAAGCTAAAACTATAATTGATAGCGAATGCGTAATTTTATTTTCTTATAGCAACAAATTTTAGAGACTTAACCTTTTAGACCTTTCCCTAACAATAATCTCCCAACCAATTGTATTTTCTTATATCATCACATTTTTTAGACTTGATCCTTTAGGTCTCTGCCTAACAATCCCTAGCCAGTGTGCGCTGGATTTGGCGCTTCTGCCCAAGTTAGCCCAACAGATATTACTTGTAAGATTAACGCTTATCACTACGTCGAAAAATTATAGCTCGTAGCGAAGATGTAACTTTTTTTCCTACTACATTTTTGAGAGGTATTGTGCTGGGTTTGGTCTTTTCAGCTTCCACCTAACAATCCTCCAGCCACTATGCGTTGGACTTGATCCTTCACCAACTTCCTCCCAACAAATATCACTTGTTAAATCAACGCTTATCACTATGCTAAAAGTCATGGTTGAAAAAATCGCTAGACGCCCATCGGGCGCTCTCGGAGGGCCTAGCGCCTAGGCGGGGATTAATCGGCGCCTAGGCACCCATGAATTTTTTATTTTATTTTTTATTTTTAAAAATTTGTTTAATTTTTATTTTTAATTTTTAAAGACTTGATAATTATAAACTGTTTAATACTTTAGTAGTTAATACTAAAATATTGAATATTAACCTAAAAAACATCTAAAGTTTGAACAATTTAAGATTATTTCGCTCAAAACGATGTCGTTTTGAGTGAAATAACTCACTTAAAAAAGAATGGAACAATAGTTAATTGGCCAACTAGGCGACCTAGTCGGTGCCTAGGAGGCCTAGACGGCACTTAGGCGGCCTAGTCGGCCAGCCGCCTAGACCACCGATTATAGTGATACGCTAGGCGACTGGCCAGCGCCTAGCGCTGATTAATCGGTGTCTAGGCGGGATTTTTACAACATTGCTAAAAGTCATAGCTTGTAGTTAAGACCCAAATTTATTTCCTTATACTATCATATTTTTGAAAGGCGAGCTGTTGAGCTTTACCCTTTAAACCTCCCCCTAACAATCCTCCTCGGATATTGGACTTAGTCCTTCACCAGTCACTACAATCTCTGTTTTTACTCTTAATTTTCACATTTTTTGTTAAAGATTTTGTTGTTTGTTTGTGGTGATGTTTAGATCATTGCACTTGACGGTTATTTGGATGCTTTTTGAGAATGTTATGGCCTTTCACCGAACTATTGGAACCTTCATCGGACTTCTTGAGGTTGGGAGAGTTCACGAATGGGTTGTCACTGAGAAGCAAGGAAACACAAAAACTGCACACCCTAAAGCTGCAAAGAATGTTCCTCGTTTTAGGCTTGGACAAAGGTATATATAATTCTTGCTTCATAACAAAATAAATTCTAAGAACAAAAATATTTTGTCTCTTAATTATTAGTGATGGATTATTTTGATTGGTATTGTTAAAAATTACAAAAATATGATCTTCTTTACAAGGTTTGGGTGATTTTGGTCTTCTGGCGAATTGAAAAATAACACTACAATAAAACAACAAAAATTACTCCGTAACATATTTAACAATTGATTAAACATCCTACCAACTACGAATTTTAGTTTTTTATCGACTGAAGTCCGTTGATAAATTAATTACCTTTGAATTTTAGTAATTTACTTATAGATATTTCATTTGGTAAATTTAATTTTTCTTTTGATAAATTAATTACCTTTGAATTTTAGTAATTTACTTATAGATATTTCATTTGGTAAATTTAATTTTTCTTATAGTGTAAACATCATCAAAATTAGTTCAGAAATTTTGATTGGTATTTTAATTTAGTACTTTCAATTATTTAAGGGAAAATTGTAAAAAATGCCCCTCTATAATATGTCAATTATCAATGTCACTCATGAATTATGAATAGTATAAATATTGCCCCTCAATTATCAAAATGGTGCACATATAGCTCCTCCCGTAACGGACCTGTGGTTCCCCACCGCTGTCCATCGCTGGTACTTCGAATCGAGTGAGGGAAAAAACAACTAAATTACATATTTACTCCGACTTAAATGTGGCGTACACTAACGGGGAACCACATGTCCGTTACGGGAGGGGCTATATGTGCACTGTTTTGATAATTGAGGGGCAACATTTACACCACTCATAATTCAGGGATGACATTGATAATTGGCAAATTACAGAGGGGCATTTTTTACCATTTTTCAATTATTTAATTCTATTTTCACTTCAATCGCATCACTATTTCTTTCAAATTAACCTTTTAACCTTAATATCCTCTTACGTTTTTGTTCATTCCCGACAATCATATCAATTGTATATTATGCAAAGTTGAGGAATATTTTGTAAATTTTGATAAGTGGGAATCAAAATAACTTGAATGAAAAAAAATTATGTTCTCAAATTTAGAATGTTTACGATTTTGATGAGACTTTTTTTATTTATTTATTTTGTATATTGTATAGGTTGCATTTGTGGGAGATTATTGTTGGATTCTACATGCTATTTTGTGGTTGGTACAACCTTATTTTCGGAGACAACTATTTTTATGTGTACTTATTTCTCCAAGGAGTGTCATTCTTGGTCATTGGATTTGGCTACAATGGTGCATTTGTGACAACTTCGTAGCTCACATTTGGTAGATTGGGGAGTTCTTTGGAAGGCTACATGCATATATTTGATTCTAAATTAAAGTTAGTAATAATAAATAATTAAATATACATTGTTTAAAAAAATAATTAATATATAATTATAAATAAACTTCCAGTGTACTTGCTGGTGATGTAAAGAAATTAGATGGTTGTTACTTGTTAGGAGTATGATTCGCTCGGCAGAAATTGGGTTGTAAGGAAAGTTCAAGTTCTTCAATAAAATTATATATACTTCGCGTTCTTGCCTAATTTCTTCTTGATTTCTACAATTTTGCTCAATATGTGTTAAAGTTTATTTTAGAGCTTATAACTTATGCTAAACTACAAATTGTTAGTGTTTTGATTGTAAAAATCATTTATATAATTGGCTATATTATGGCAAATTAGATTAGTGTAGGACAATTCTACTAATAGAGTGTCTGGCGGATAAGTTCCTACACCAGTGAAGATTTGAAAACTTGCTGAATATCTTCACCGACTTACCCACAGGAACGGTGAAGCAGTTTTCATATTTAAGCTTTTGGAAACCGAAGTTTAAGAAGTTAGATCTTTCCTAAGAAGATCTATGCCAAGTGATCTCTGTCTACATGGTAACCCTAAGGGGGCGTTTGGTTCACGAAATCTTGGATTACCCCATGTAATAGGATTACCTCTAGGAAGGTAATGTGAGATGTTGGGAATGTAAGATTACCTTGTGTGTTTGGTTTGGATGGTGTAGTATAATATTACCTTGTTTGGTTCAAGGTTATATTTTAGGTTATATGGATCAATTTACAATAATGTCCTCAATTATATATATATATATATATATATATATATATATATATATATATATATATATATATATATATATATATATATATATATATATATATATATATATATATATATATATATATATATATAATGTGTGTGTATTTATTTATATGTATGAATGTATATCAATGCTTAAATATTAAAAAAAAAAACTAAATATATAAATATACACATGTATATTTGATTATATAAACATATATTAATTTCATTATTGTTATTATTATTATTATTATTATTATTATTATTATTATTATTACTATTATTATTATTATTATTATTATTATTATTATTATATAAGGATTAGTTAACAAGGGCAAAGTTGGAATAATTCAAGGTAATCTAAGATTACCTAAAAAAATGGGGGTAATCACATTACCTTGAAACATTACCGTCACGTCAGCTTTCAGGTAATATAACATTACCAGGTAATCTTATAACTTGAACCAAACAAGGTAATATAACATTACCAGACTCAGATTACCTAGGTAATCTAAGATGACCTGAACCAAACGCTCCCTAAGGGATTACTTGCCATCCAAAATTCAAAGCCTGCCTATTTATTTGAAGAAGTTTGCAGCCTTGAAACTTTACACACGAGAGAGTATTTTTCACTAGCAAGACAACTTCTTCCATGAGCGTTTAACAGTTGAATCTTCGAATCATCTTCTCAATACCATCATGGTTCATGATAAATATTTCCATTGAGAAGACAACATTTCCTTTGCTGATTTGAGGACTGTATTCCATACAACTGTGGTGCAGTAGTGAGTGAGCCAGTGGGTCAGACAGTGACAACGTGGATCTCCAAACTAGGGACTGTTTTAACAACTACTTACTTTGATATCCGCCTCAACAATCCTCTATACGCTTCATCAGATTGGGTTTCTACCTTATGTTTGTGAGGTATAACACACATTGGGTTGAGATTGTGATCTCTTTGCCATCTGTATGATTGACTGGTTGAGATAGTGGATTGGACTCACTGATGGTGGTCCCATAGACGTAGATACGATTGTATTGAATTGGGTATCGGATGGTAGGTTCTTCTCTAGCAGGCTTTAACGAAGTCACATCCCATTAGAATATGCGCCATGGTCTCTTCTTCTTCTCTACATTCCATGCAGGAACTATCGTCTGTCAACCCTCTATTGTATCGCTCAACATTAGTCAGGAGCTTCTCCTTCACTGTCAGCCACAAGAACATGTACACCTCTCCGACACACGAGTCTTCCAAACCCAGTCTATGTCCTTTGTTTCATCAGCAGGCCCTGCAAGATACATAAAAGCAGCTCGAATAAAACACGTACCTGTTGAGAATCTCGGCCAGTAGAGTGGGTCTGTAATCTGATCATTTAAGGGTTGGGATAGCCTTGATCTTGTTAACCGCTTCATGGGGTAGAAAACTTTGCAACCTGTTAAAATCCTAACAACGGTTAGGCAAGATGAAATCACTGACCTTAGCATCCGCGATATCATCCGAGATCGTCACACTATCAAGGAGACCGAGAGGTTAGTCACCAACCCACTACTCAGACCAAAAGTTCAGGGTCTTTCCACTCCCCACTCGCCACGCAGCTCCCATTTCAATGGTAGAACGTCCTCTCATAATGCTCCTCCAACCCCAAGACGAATTCTTCGGGACAGAAGCCATAAAGAAGCCCCCATTTTCACATATTTCTCATTCATAATTCGAGCCCAAAGTTTGTCTTGACAAGTATTCATCTGCTAGGCAAGTTTTGCCATTAGAGCATCATTGAAATCAATACACAGCCTAAGCCCCAACCCGCCTGCACTCTTTGGTTTGCAAATTTCATTACACCCCACAAGATGGATTTTTCTCTTTATTCTCAGTATCACCCCAAAGAAACCCCTAGAGACTTTGTCAATCGCGTTACAGACCCCCACCAAGAACCTGAACACCTGCATGGTTGGAGGGCCGATTGAACTAACACCATGCAACCGGCAAGACTGAGAGCGTCAGCCTTCCAATTGGCCAATTTTCTTTTCATCCCCTCCAAGATGTACCCAAAAGTCTTCTTAGAAACTCTTTGTTGGAGAATTGGGACGCCAAGGTAGTTCCCCAAGTTTTCAGAAACGGGAATGCCCGTAATCCTCTTCAGATTCCTCTTAATCCCTGAACTTGTATTAGGGCTACAAAAAATGTTTGACTTAGAAACATGAACATTTAAACCTGATATCCTTGAAAAACTCTCTAAGCTGTCCATAATGGTGTGACCCTGGGCTTCCAAGGCCTCATAAAAAAGCATAAGGTCGTCAGCGAAAAAAATGGGAGACACCAATACCTCCTTGGGAGACCACAATCGATTTCCAATTTTTCCTCCAGACCTCTTCTTGGATTTTCCACGACAATCTTTCCATGACAAGGATGAAAATATAGGGGGCTAGAGAATCACCCTGCCGAAGGCCCTGCCCAGAGCTAAAGGGGTCAAGTTTTTCCCCATTCCACAAGATAATAAAGCTTTCCTTAATCGAAAACATAATTAATCTGATGAGATGTTGAGGGAAGTCAAAGTCCTCAAGAGTAACCTCCAAAAAGCCCAAATGAATGTTGTCATAGGCTTTGTGGATATCTAATTTGATCGCCATGTAACCCTTATCCCCTTTCTTTTGCCGCATTGAGTGGATGATTTCCTGCTGAGATGATGTTGTCCATCATGGATTTCCAAAACAGACCCATAGGCAGGAAACTATTCTGGTACGGACTAATGAACTTCTTCATAATAGGTCTCATTCTATTCACCATTACCTTAGAGATAATCTTGAAGCTAACATTCAGAAGAGTAATCAGTCTAAAGTCACTAATCGATTCTGGATTCTCCTTTTTCGAGATGAGCGTTACGTACACCTCCAAGATTTTAGTTGGGACCCTCCCATCTTTATTGCCTTATTCACAAGGCAAGTGATAGGACAAGAGGAGTACTAATTAGCACAAGAAGAATACTAATTAGCACAAGAGGAGTACTAGTTCACACCAATTGAGTATTAATTTGCACTAGAATACTAAATAGTACAACAGTACTAATCAGTACCAAATGAGTACTAATTAGCACCTAATGAGTACAAATTTAATTTGTACTACTAATTTAAAATTTTTAAATTTAGTAATTTAATAAATCCTACTAATTTAAATTAGTATTTATATTAGTATTTAAATGATACTAATTAACAGAGTAGGAGTACTAAATAACACCAATTGAGTATGAATTAGCACAAGTAATAACTTGCACAAGAGAAGTACTAATTAGCACAAGAGTACTAAGTAACACCAATTGAGTATTAATTAGCACAAGACTAGTAGTAATTAGCACAAGAGGAGAACTAATTAACACCAATTGATTATTAATTACTTTTTTACTAAATAGAACAAGAGTACTAATTAGCGCAAGGGGAGTACTAATTATCACAAGAAAAGTACTAATTAGCACAAATTGTGTACTAATTAGTACCAAATGAGAACTAATTAGCACCAATTGAGCACTAATTGATACCAAATGAGTATTAATTAGCACCAAATAAGTACAAATTTAATTAGTACTACTAGTTTAATAAATTTAAATGTAGTAATTTAATAAATCCTACTAATTCAAAATAGTGTTTAATTTAATATTTAAATAAATACTAATTAGCACAAGAGGCGTACTAAATAACACCAATTGAGTATTAATTAGCGCAAGAGAAGTAATAATTTGCACAATAGGAATACTAATTAACACAAGAGGAATACTAATTAGCACAAGAAAAGTACTAATTAACACCAATTGAGTATTAATTTGCATAAGAAGAGTAATAATTAGTACAAGAGGAGTACTAATTAGTACCAAATGAGTACTAATTAGCACCAATTGAGTACTAACTAATACCAAATGAGTATGAATTAGCACCAAATGAGTACAAATTTAATTTGTACTACTAATTTAAAAAATTTAAATGTAGTAATTTAATAAATCATTAAATCCTACTAATTTAATTTAGTATTTAAATGAAGAGCAAATACCAATTTTAGTCCCACAAGTATGAGCAAAGTGACAATTTTGGTCCACATATTTAATTCCTACCAAATTTCATCTACGACTATTGCTTTAGCACCAATTTTCATCCACGATTATTGTTTTAATGTCAAAATTCATCACGCCGGTCATCCCTTCGTTTAAGACATGCCGAAATATGAAATTATTAAGGGTATTTTCATCCTTTTCAAATTAAGATCTCAATTTGAGTATGAAAAAAGAGATTTAAGCCTTAACATCTATCCCAATTCGCAGTTCTTCTCCTCAAATTGAGGTAGGATGAGGAGGAAAACTGCGAATTGGGATCGATCTTAGGGCATAAATTTATTTATATATCCATGCTCAAATTGGAATCTTAAGTTGAAAATGACGAAAATATCCTTAAAATTTATAGATTTTGACATGTTTTAAATGAACGGGTGACCGACGTGATGAATTTTGGCATTAAAATTAAAACAATAATCGTGGATGAAAATTGGTAGGAATTAAATATGTGGACTAAAATCATCATTTTACTAATACTCGTGGGACTAAAATTTGTATTTGCTCTTAAATGAATACTAATTAGCACAAGAGGAGTACTAATTATCACAAGTGGAGTACTAATTAACACCAATTGAGTATTAATTTGTAGAAGAAGAGTACTAATTAGTACAAGAGGAGTACTAATTAGTACCAAATGCGTACTAATTAGCATAAGAGTAGTAATTAGCACCAATTGTGTAGTAATTAGCACAAGAGTACTAATTTGCATAAGAGTACTAATTAGCACCAATTATGTACTAATTAGCACAAGAGTACTAATTTGCACCAAATGAGACTAATTAGCACAAGAGAAGTACTCATTAACACCAATTGAGTATAAATGAGCACAAGGGGAGTAATAATTTGCAATAGAGGAGTACTAATTAGCACAAGAGTACTAATTAACACTAATTGAGTATTAATTAACACAAGAGGACTACTAATTAGCACAAGAGTACTAATTAACACAAGAGGAGTACTAATTAACACCAATTGAGTATTAATTAGCACAAGATGAGTAATAATTAGCAAAAGAGGAGTACTAATTAACACTAATTGAGTATAAATTGGCACAAAAAGAGTAATAATTTACACAAGAGTAATAATTTGTACAAGAGTACTAATTTAATCGTTGACTATAATGATTTTTATCCAATTTAGTCCTTAATTCTAATAGCCAACAGAAACAGAGGACTCAATTAGGTAAATTTATCGAAATTCATGACCTAATTAAGCACAAAAAATCATTTAGAACTAAATCAAGAAATACCACTACTCTATCACAAAATTAGGACTCATACAATTTCCCAAAATTAGGACTCATACAATTTCCCAAAAAGAAAAAAGTACGTCTTCGTCTATTGCTGTTAAAAAATGAAGGTGTCATTGCGAGAACCTAAAAAATATAAAGCTATCTGCAATATAAGTTAAATAGAATTAATCTAAGTGTCATAATGTCGCATCAGTTTCATAGTATTAAATTTCTTCACTACCAGAATCTAAAACATAATACAAAAGTAGGAAAATAAATGGATGCTGCAAACAAACTCACATGAATACATGATAGCATTACTTTTCTTGCTGGCTTTTATCAACAGTGCAGAAGAGGTTGGCAAGAACATGATGATTTGGATATCACGTTGGAATGCATCATCTAGGTTTAGTAACCCTCTGGATGTCAGAGAAGAGTGTGTTAAAAGTGGTAAAGAGAAACCTATTATGCCAAGTAGAAAGTGTAGGGATGACAATTTCTCCTGAACCTGACAGGGAGGCCCAATTCCCCTCCCCGATGAGGTTAGGTATAGGAATTTCCCATGTGTTAAGGGGTAAAAAGAAGCCTATTATGCCAAATAGAAAGTATATGGATGACGGGATGGCAATATAACTTGAACTTGACAGAGAGGCCCAATTCCCCTCCCCGATGAAGTTAGGTATAGGAATTCCCCATGTGTTAAAAGTGATAAAAAGAAGCCTATTATACCAAATAGAAAGGGTAGAAATGACGGAATAGCAATTTCACCAGAACCTGATAGGGAGGCCCAATTTCCATCCCTGATGAGGTTAGGTATAGGAATTCCCCATCCTCAAAATTTCGTTGTATGAACAAAGATGGGATGGAAACGAATTCCCCCGGGAGAGCAGGGAATATGTCCCCACTCCGCCCTGACTTGTTGCCATTCCTAATAAGAGAAGACAGCTAAAGAACAAGAAACCATACAACACACTAGAAGTACTTACAGTTGGTGCATTGATTGGCCGGCGCTGTCTGCTGGGCACACCATTTGATTCCGATATCAACTCTGGACTGCTTAGCTTATAGAATGTCTGCAATGCTGTTGTAACAAATGGGCGCACTACATTTGCTTCCATTGCCGATAGATTTTTAAGCTGCAAAGGTAGTTGATTCAGTGTGATAGTGAGAAAGGCTAATAGACAAATACAGCAACTATAACAAACAAAACTCTTTGCATCTTTGCATTGCAAAATATTGTCCCAACACGAAAAATAAAACCCTTTTTCCTTTAACACCTTGAATATCCGTTGTAGTAAAAGCTAGCAACTTACTCAAAACAAATCATATTGTGCAAGATATGATTTCAAAATAATAACACAAAGTGAACTGCTATCAGGAGCATTTCTAGCCAAAAGATCCATTCCTAGGCAATAATACGTTCTTATCATCTTCACTTCATCCAACGTTATTTTAGAAATGCAGCACATGTGTAACTTATTGGAGTGTAAAAGAACAAAAGTAAACTAAGATTTATGAATTCCCTAACACTATACCACCAAGACTAAATTCATCAATCTAACAAGAGCTGCACTCATGGTTGCACCATTATTGCATCCTTACAGAAAATGCATAACAATAATAATTCCGCATTTGAATCATAGTAAGGGTATAATATGATCCAAAGAATAGTTTGCCACTCTTAACTGTAAGTTCAAAGAATTTCATTTAATAGCATAACAAGCAAAGATCTTTGGGAGTAAAAGCATACCCTCAATGCAGAAGTGCGCTCCTTGGATATAATCTCCAACCCAGTCCCAATCTTGTGGAATCTTACATCCTTGATATCCTCAATTAGAGACCTCACCTATCAAAAACATCTACTTAAAATTCTTGAAAAAGTGAATATGTAAAAAATCAAAGTAAGTTCAGGTTGAGACTAAAGAGTGGACTAACCATATAGATATCTGGTATGTCCTCGCGGGCACTACATCACCATATATTGACATTAGCAACAGAAGATCAACTAAGAAGAATGAAAATTACTGTAATATGTTTCTTACTGATCAAATAGAATCCTCGAGATTTCAACATAATGAAATGGTAATGACTGGAACCCTTCAGAATCCCTTTCTGCTTCCAAGACCTGAGTTAACTTCTCTAAGTAATGGCATAAAAATTAGTACTCCATATCAAATAAGCAAAACCATCAACAATAATCCATAAAAAATTACAAACAAGAAAGTAATGGAACTATAAAAATGTGTATATAAAGTTATAAACTATATACATAACACAGAATTCTCTGAATATCATCCAAAGCAATCAATGGTTGATTTTAGATACTAACCAATCACACCCCGAATAACAATCATATAATTCAATGAGAAGAAACCTTAATTATTGAACTCTCTAGCTTATAAATCATTATAACAATGACCAAATTATATAGAGTTAATACCCAAAATCGTCCTCGACTATAGTGGTTTTTCTCAATTTCGTCCTAAACGACTTTAGTGACCTAATATCGTCCCAGACTTTTGTGTTTCGCTCAATTTAGTCCTCAATTTGTTATTCCGTCAAATTGGTGTTAAATAAAGGGACAATTCAGTAATGTTAATATTGATCTCTCTTTACTTTCAACTTGTAAAGTACGAAATTCCTCTTTCTTGTACGAATTACACCCAGAATTACTCTAGGACCTGCAAATCAAATTTTATATTCGCAGTTTTAGGAGTAATTCTGGGAGTAATTCGTAAAAGAAAAAAAGGATTTCGCAGTTCACATGTCTATGAGTAAAGAGATGTCAATATTAAAATTACTGAATTGTCTATTTATTTAACATCAAATGGACAGAATAACAAATGAGGGGCTAAATTGAGCAAAAACACAAAAGTCTGGGACTAAATTGAGCGAAACACAAAAGTCTGGGATGATATTAGGTCACCAAAGTCGTTTAGGACGAAATTGAGAAAAACCACTATAGTCGAGGACGATTTTGGGTATTAACTCAAATTATATACATAACACAAAATTCTCTGAACATCATCCCAAACAATCAATGCCTGATTTTAGATACTAACCAATCACACCTCAAATAAAAATCATATAATTCCATGAGAAGAAACCTTAATTATTGAACTCTCTAGCTTATAAACCATTATAACAATGACCAAATTATATACATAACACAAAATTCTCTGAACATCATCCAAAACAATCAATGGCTGATTTTAGATACTAACCAATCACACCTCAAATAAAAATCATATAATTCCATGAGAAGAAGCCTTAATTATTGAACTCTCTAGCTTCTAAATCATTACAATAATGACCGAATTTGAGTTTGATTGAGAGTAGTCATTCACTCACCAACTGACATCCATTCAGGAGGTCTGATAGTGCATTTCCCTCTCTTCTTCAGGGCCACTGCCAGCCACAGAGGAACCTGTATGGCTATTTGGGGGCGAAAAGGGCCAAAATCTCCCTGTCAATTACAAAAATTGAAATTACAAGTTTTGAGATATGGATATGAATAATTGAAGAATAAACAAACTAAAACGATGTGAAATTGAAAGAGGAAATGAATACGCAGATCAAATTTAGGGGTTCCATTCTCATGTTGGGCACAATTTCGACCATCTCATCCTCCGCGAGAAACTCCAACTGCAGGATTTAACATGAAACTAATGCAATAACTTTCGGAAATTAATCAAATTTCAAGAACAAAACAAAATTTGATTCGCATATTTACTGAACCTCAGCAGCTGAAATGGCAGATGCCTGTGGATCGGACGGGCTGGCCATTTTTTTTATTTAAAGTGACGATACAAAGTTTTACTCTTTTGAGTGCGTTTGAAGAGAACGGACTGCTGCAGTGCTGCGCAAATGGTGTGAGCGACTAGACGAGCCCTAGCTTTCGCCTTCTTTTTTTGGCGGGAAAACTGAGATGGGTTAGCAAACCGTCGGTTTTTTGTACTCAAAAAATTAATTGTAATTATAAAAAATAATTATATTAATATATGTACAATTAATTCCTTAATTATCATAATAATTATTAGTAATTATACTAATATTGTACAATTATATTTTTATACCTTAAATATAAAAATATATGTAAGATTACTATAAAATTATCATAGTAATTAACTAATTACACGAAAAAATAAGAATGATAATTTATTTTGTTCTCGTAGTATTATATATTAAGTATAACATATATATATATATATATATATATATATATATATATATATATATTTATTTATTTATTTATTTATTTATTTATTTATTTATTTATTTATAATCACCAAGTTATTTATAATTAAAAAAATTAACGACTCATGTTTAATTGTAATTATATTATTAGTATGTTTTTTTTTTGAAAGTATATTATTAGTATGTTAATTATTAATTTAATTATCATAATAATTATTAGTCAATTATACTAATACTAGTTTTACATGCGCGCATTGCACGAATAAGTTAATGCCTAATGTTTATAATTAAATAAATATTTGAAAGTATATCAATGCAAGATTATACATGAGAAGTTCATACATAAGTAATTTAATGTCGAATTTGTTTATTTAAATATGTAACTCATAGTATATTAATACAATGTAATATAAGAGTTTCATTATAATTGTTACTAAACCTTTTTTAAATAGTAACCAAGTTTTTTTGTTACAAAGAGTTCTAATATATTTAATGAATGCACATATATACAATATCAATAAATGAATCAACAGTACCAATTCTTTAGGTGTTTTGCTCAGTGTTCATTTAGTTCAACCATTATTGTTGAATAAATTATTATGGATAAAAAAAATTCCTAATTTAAGGAATTTTGATGTAGTAAAAATTTAAATTTTTAATTAATAATGTAACCCAAAGATATTGGACGATTGGTAAATATGATGTAACCCAAAAATCAAAATGCAAAAGAAAGTGTTTAGTTATTCAACAGTTTGAAGCAATAATTTGTCCCAAATCACTGAAAATACAAACATTACAATTTACAATATTTTCGCTTGCCGTTTTTTAGAATGATTTCTCCAAAACACCTCTATATTTACAAAAAATAAAAATAATAAATAATAAATAATAAAAAATTACTGTAGAGCTATTTCGACTCCTTGAATAACAAGAGTCAATTGCGCTAGCTCACTGTTTGCCCATCAACGGATGGACAAGCTTAATTTTTAAAAATTGGAGCCTTAAGGCTCCTTTCATAGGAGCCTCAAAGGCTCCCATGCCACTTTTCCCACCAATGTGGGAAAAGTAACAAAACTAAGGGGAGCCGAACTTTCGGCTCCCCATATATATAAATATATATATTAGTATTTTACTCGTGTGATGCACGGTATAGAAAATTTAAGTATAAATGTTATGATCTCATATCAATCGTTATTTTGACTATGAAAAGTTAGATTAGTAATAATAAATAAAACTAATCAAAATTACAAATAAAATTACAAATTATTAAAAACAATTATTAAAATACTAATCAAAATTACAAATTATTAAAAAATTAGTACATATCTTAAAATCAAAGTCTTTATTCATCTTGCAAAAAATTGGTCCAAAACCAAAAAAAGCGTTATGATGTGCAACTGTGTGCACCATGCATGGTGCACATGGTTGCAAAAACGACGTCGTTTTGACGTACTCCTTTTAAAAAAAAAATCAGTTTCGATTGCCATTAACGGTGTTATGTTGTGCATAATTTGAACTATATAGTTTATTCATTTCGATATATAGTTCATTCATTATGGATATATATTTCATTCATTCTGGATATATAGTCACTACTACAGAAATGATATACTACGTCGCTTAATAGACGTCGATTTTTTAAATAACCGCCTTCTATTATATTTTGTTATACTACGACACATAATAGACGTCGGTTTTCTAAATAACCGCCTTCTATTATATACTACGGCACATAATAGACGGCGGTCTTCAAATAACCGCCTTCTATTATATACTACGACACTTAATAGACGGCGGTCTTTAAATAACCGCCGTCTATTATATACGGCGTCACTTAATAGACGGCGGTTGTTAAATAATCGCCTTCTAATATATATTTACATCACTTAATAGACGGCGGTTTTAAATAACCGCCTTCTAATATATATTTACGCCACTTAATAGACGGCGGTTTTAAATAACCGCCGTCTAATATATATTTACGTCAATTAATAGACGGCGGTTCTTAAATAACCACCGTCTAATATATATTTACGCCACTTAATAGACGGCGGTTGTAAATAACCGCCTTCTAATATATATTTACGTCACTTAATAGATGGCGGTTTTAAATAACCGCCTTCTAATATATATTTAAGCCACTTAATAGACGGCGATTTTAAATAACCGCCATCTAATATATATTTACGTCAATCAATAGACGGCGGTTCTTAAATAACCGCCGTCTAATTTATATTTACGTCACTTAATAGACGGCGGTTGTAAATAACCGCCTTTTAATATATATTTACGTCACTTAATAGACGGCGGTTTTAAATAACCTCCTTCTAATATATATTTACGTCACTTAATAGACGGCGGTTCTTAAATAACCGCCTTCTAATATATATTTACGTCACTTAATAGACGGCGGTCGCCGTGTAAAGGTGTGATACTCCATATTTTTTTGGGCATTGTACGAGGACCGTTTGTGCATACGACTAATTTTATTAAATTTTCCTAAATCAATATTATTCATTAAGCTTAATAGTTTCTTAATCCAAGAAAACCTAGTATTTTCTAATTATATACATGTGCACGTATATTATGTTCCTACATAGCATAATTAACCATCTCCTTTGTGGTTTGAATGGTATTCGGTATGGACCTTTAAAAAGGAAGGCCCGGGATCGATTCCCACCCCAAGCGTGGGTCGAAATATGTTGATAAAAATGATCCTGGGCCCTGCATTGCACCCAGCCCCCCCCGAACCATAGGCCTTGAGCCCCCCCCCTAAACCCTGAGCATAGCTTGGATTGTTGGCTACAAAGGGGAAGTGTGACGCCGAGTGTACCCGGAACAAGATTACAGGGTCTACGGGACCCACCTTGGGCGAAACGGGGTGAACCCACATCATTGAGATGAACCAAGCGACCCCAGGATCCAACCAATCGTAACGAGCCTCTGCGGAGGACCAGTGGCACATGCCCCGGACCTTGGGCGAAACGAGGTGAACCCACATCATTGAGATGAACCAAGCGACCCCAGGAGCCAACCAATCGTAACGAGCCTCTGCGAAGGCGTCTCATGTAGTAACAAAAAATATAATATATAATGTAACCTTATTTTCTTTTAAGGTGAAAAATATATGTATAGACGGCGGTTCCTCAAGACAACCACCGTCTATACATATGTATAGACGGTATAGACGGTGGTTCTTACATTGAACCGCCGTCTATTCATATGTATAGACGACGGTTCAATATAAGAACCGTCGTCTATACATATGAATAGACGGCGGTTCTTATATTGAACCGCTGTCTATACATATGAATAGACGGCGGTTCATCAAGAAAAGCGCCGTCTATACATATAATTGTTGAGATTACACGACATACATCGTGAGATTAGACGGCGGTTAGCAACCGCCGTGTTTTAGAAGTATACATGGCGGTTCAAATAACCGCCGTAGAAAGTTTTTATTTACAAAGGCGGTCACTTACACGGCACTTCAAGAACCGCCGTGTACTTATAAAAATAACCGCCGTGGTAAGTGTTTTTTGTAGTAGTGAGTTCATTCATTCTGGATATATAGTTCATTCATTCTGGAGGATATATAGTTCATTCATTCTGGATATATAGTTCATTCATTCTAGATATATAGTTCATTCATTCTGGATATATAATTCATTAATTCTTGATATATAGTTCAAATCATGCACAACATAACGCCGTTAATGGCAATCGAAATTGATTTTTTTTTTAAAGTCGGACGCGCGTTTTTAATCAAAACGACGTCTTTTTTACAACTGTGTACACCATGCATGGTGCACATGATTGCACGGCATAATTTGCGCAAAAAAAAAAAACAAAAAACAAAAACAAAAACAAAAAAAAAAAAAACAAAACAAAACCCAAATAACAAACCATATACCCATTACTATTGTACAGCTTCTCAAATCTCCAAATCCCTAACCCTAATCCATTATTATTGCGCAACTTCTCACTCAAATACGCTTGCCGATAATCTCTCTACGTTTTCTTCTTTCTGCGGCATTCCACGCTCCTTTGGCTATCTGTTACTTGAGTGTGAACTACTAACCCAAAAGATATCTATATATATCACTAAACATGCTTAAATACTGAAAAATCCAACAATCAGAGGGAATAATTTAATAAATTATAACTTAAAACTAAAAAATTTTGAAGTTGTATAAATATAAAACTAAGAAATTTTAAATATTTATAACCATAAAACTAAAAAAATTGATGGAATAATTACATGAATTATAACTTATATAAATATAAAATTTGCTATAGGGTAATTTCCCATTTAATATATTTTTCCAGATTTATTAATACAGTTGAATTGTTTTTTCATATACAAAATTATATTCGAATATATTAGTTTCAAAATATTTGATTAACCCGGTATTGCTATATATATATATATATATATATATATATATATATATATATATATATATATATATATATATATATAATAAATTTCAAATGCTGCGGGGTCTTCCCGTGCGGCGGTGCGGCGGAATTCCAAAATACACCAACAGTGTTAACAATATGCACTAACAGTGTTAGAAAAACACACCACAATGAAATGCAATAAAACATCACAGAATACACAACAGACTCAAAAAAATACACCATATAACTCACCACCCCCAATGGTGTATTTATGAACAGTGTATGGTGTTTACTTACACGTAGTGATGTGTGTTTGGTGATGCAGGGCTCTGTTTACTCTGTTTTTTGTGGTGTATTTTCCTAACGTTGATGGTGCATATTTGTTGAACTATTGGTGTTGCCGCACCGTAAGACACTGCCGCACCTGAACTCGCCTATATATATATATATATATATATATATATATATATATATATATATATACTAGTTTTTTACGCGAATTGCGCGATTGGGATAATGTCCAATGCTTTTTTTTTAAATAAGTACTTTAAAGTATATTAAGACAGGATTATATTGAAATTGTTCATGCATAGATAATTGAAGGTTGAATTTGCGTATTTAAATAGGTAATTCTTCTCCCAAAGGTTGAGTCCCCAACCCCAAGGGCCCCCCACACTCCGACTCGACAGAGCATTGTGGGAAGTTGTAAATCACGGTGACTCAATGGTTCAGCAAACATGGCCAAATGCTGATACGCACAAGGAATCTGCCCACTTTGGACATAATTCCCGCACTGCCGCCGCCGAGGTTCAAACCTTCGTCTCTTCTCCCAAATACTACCCACTAAGCCCGTGCGGGTTAAATAGGTAATTCTAAGTTTACAAATGCAAGATAATATAGTCAAGATTGATTATAATTGTCAATAAAATAATGTATAGGTATGGTTGAAACCAAATACGGGACATAAGGGAGAACAAATAAAAATTAGGACATAAAATATTAAATATATACTAATATTGTTTGAGGAGATTCCGACATTAGGATTTGTGGTTAAGTTCTATTAAGACTTTAATATTAGAATTAGATTAATGGTGTAGTTATAATTCTATATTAGACTTTAATATTAGAATTAGACTAACGGTGAATTAATGGAAAAGTTAAATGGATAATCATATAATTAAGGATAAATTAGAAAATCTTAAAAGAAAAAATTAAAACCTTAACAATATGAACCATTCATTTGATTTAATAATTTGGCGGTCATTTTTTCTACCCAATGTTAATAATTAAATAAATTCGCTGGTCAAATCCGCTAGTATAATCCGCTAACGCTAACCGCTAACTGCTGATTGTCAAACAAGGACATTGCGAGGTAGTTCTCACTTCAATTTGTTGTGTGATTTGGATACTCTCGTTGTCACAAAATCTCTCAAGTAGTTAATATGGTTGGCTTTATTAATTATATTTTTTAAATTTTTTCATGGTATTAATAAAATACTTGGTAAATAAATATATAGCATTATTTTGTATTATACCTTTGATATTTAATTAGAAAAATAGTGCACAAAAAAAAATAATAGATAATGTAGTGAATATAATCAATGATTGATAATTTGAATGTAAAAATTTTTACATTTGAGAAAAATAAAGACAATATAACTAATGAAAATATTTCTTTTAATTAATTTATTCATAATTAATAATTTTTTTTTCACGGAATAAAGACATTGTAAGGATAATGTAGCGAATATAATCAATTAATAAATTTGAATATAAAGAATTTTTATATTGAAGAAAAATAACGACAATATAACTAATAAAATTATTTCTCTTATTTAATTGATTGATAATGAATAATTTTTTTTTTGAATAAAGGTATTGTGGACACATAATTCTAAATTAAAGAAATGCATATGTATTATTTTTTGTTGTAACTACTAAATTATTATTTATATAATTTAATAAGAGTAAAATAGAGTACTAATTATGCCAACTTTGATTGGGATGAGGTTCGAACCTAAGACCTTTTTTTATTGAAATCAATGAGTAAGTTAACGATGAAACTAACGGCAATTCTTAAAATTTTAACGGAATTAGTAACGGTGTGTGGGTATTTTAGGAAATTTTAGTGTAAAATTTAAATCTGATCAATCTTTTAATTAATCTGAGCCATTCATTTGATTAAAATCTGTGACCGCCATTTTTTCTACCCATTATAGGCCTAACTCTCTTGGGCTCTTATTAGTATATATATATAGTAGATAGTAGATATATATATATATACACACACACACACACACACACACACACACACACACACACACACATAAAATAAGGGCACAGTAATTTTTTAAACATACTAACATTTAATTGTTTGTATTTCACTTTTGATATTTTTATTCACATTAACAATGTTTTGAAATCTGACATTATTCACATATGTGAAGCAGGCTCAAAATCATTAAAAAAAAAAAAACAAATACTCCAGATTATTTAATGGTACATTTGGCTTCTTTCTCTTGCCCATGGTGGTTTATTTCTTCAACATTTTCATTTTTCTTCACATACAACTGCAGAACTCACAACTCACAGACTATATATGAAATTGGATTTACATATTTTTTTATGGTGCATCAACGCACCTTAATCTTCAACCAACTGTCTTCTTCCCCCTCGTGAATGCGGTCGCGGTCCCAACATGCCATATGCAGCTCCATGACAGCTCCAACATTTTTCTCCACAAGACTTATTTATAGGGTTCATGTTTATCGCGCTATGTATGTGTATATTTAATTTAATGTTAGTATTGAGGATTGCAAAAGTTTTCGTTCACTTTGCATTCACATTTGCATTTATGATTTGTAATAGTGATTTAAGTATACGAAGTGGTAGAATATCCTCTTAAATGGTTAATTAAACAAAAATTGTGATATGTATATAACCTTTCAAATACTAAAATATTTAAAAACAAAAAAAAATTACAAATTCAATAAACAATGGACAACGAAGAGTTACATAAAGTAATTAATAAAAATATTTATTTACTCTAAATGTTATAACAAAAATTCTGATATGTATATAATAACCTTTCAAATACCAAAATATTTTCTTAAAAAATTACAAATCCAATAAACATTGGACAACGAAGACTTACATAAAGTAATTAATCAAAATTTTTATTTAATCTAAATGTTATATATATATATATATATATATATATATATATATATATATATATATATATATATATATATATATATATATAGCGGAAGCTTCAGGATCATTCGAATATCTCTTGCCATAGTTGTTGTTATTGCCATGGGATGGTAAACCTGCAGGATAAACGTTAGTGTTTTGTCTACCACTTCTCTCCCGAATACCTGATAGTGCGTGTATTCTGAACACGAGAGCTGTGGGAGGACTATTTTGTTTAGAAGCCTACATGCCTTCAACGTAGGCAGATATTCAGTTAAAGCTTAACTGAATATCCTTAGTTGCCTAACAGATTAAGTCACCAATTGACTTAATCTTCTACTTGCACCACAACCACCCAATAATATAATATATTATAATATATTGTATTAAGGGAAAATACTTGCAACTATTCATTTACATTGCATGCACTAGACCTGGAAAAACTATCCAATTGCTTAGGCTGTACAATATGTTGGGCGGAGTAGATAACCAACTATTATTCTTGAAGTTGTAGCTAATTATGATTTGTGGATTTGGCATGCATATTTTGGTATGCTGGGGTCGAATAATGACATTAATGTATTGGAGGCATCTCATTTGTTTGCAAATCTTGCAAAAGGTATAGCACATCCTTGTCATTATGTTATTCGAGAACAAGAGTAGAACGCATGATATTATTTAGCCGATGGTATATATCCAAAATGGTCCATATTGGTACAACCCATTCATGAACCTCGAGGGCAAAAAAAGAAGTTATTTGCGATGATGCAAGAATCGTGTAGAAAAGCCGTAGAACGTGCATTTGGAGTTCTCCAATCACGATTTGCAATAGGCAAGGGACCGACGCGTTTTTGGGATAAATCGATATAATGTCATCATGCATTATAATGCACAATATGATCATTGAGGTTGAACCTAATGAACAAGCAGATATACAAGGTTGGAGGAAAACATCGACTCTTGAAGTTGATATAGCTAGAGATGAGAATATTATATTTCAAGAATTTCTTGCTCGGCATAGACAAAGTAAAGATAAAAGGCTCATTATGCACTCCTAATGTATTGATTGAGCATTTGTGGGATCGATATAGTAATTCCGATAATTAAATGTACTAGATGTTTTATGTTATATTATTATGGAATAAATTAAATTTTTAAAAATATTGTTAAATTTGATTTTTAAAAATATTGTTAAATTCAATTTTTTTTAAAATAATTAATGTTATAAAAATTATTATTTACATCACAAGTTATATTTTATATTAAAAGAATTAAGTTCGAACTAAATTATATTAAACTAATTAAATTCGAACTAATAATTGAAAACTCAAATTATTTTAGTGTAGAAATTTGGAGTTTTGGTGTAAATGGGTTAGAGATGAATAAAATTTGGTGTGAGATTATGTTCACAATATTCTTTCTATATGACATTTGGTAGAAAAATTTGGTGTTTTGGTTTAAGTGAGTTTGAGTTGCTAAGGGTTAGATGATTGTACTCTTCCTTATGGGGGCTTTCTCGAATACACAAACACACAAAATGCACTCTTCCTACTATATACTTAGACCCTGCCTTATGGGGGCTTTCTCGAATACACAAACACACAAAATGCACTCTTCCTACTATATACTTAGACCCTGTTTAGTAACAAAGTTAGTTTATCAATAAATTTTAGTTTGTTTGACCATTATTAACTATTTGACTTAGTTAAACAACCAATATAAATATTTGGTTAATCAACTTTTTGTAATAACGTATTGCTCCATAATACTAAAATTCAAAAAAGCTACTCAAAAGTAACTTTTTCAATATTTTTGAGAATAAATTATACCCTTAAAGGTCATTTTACATATAATCAGTTATAAGCTAACAACTAATTTAACAAACATCTTTCTACAACCAACTAATGTTATCAACTAGTCAAACCTGCTAACCCAATCCGCTAACAGCTATCAGTTATTTGCCAAAAGCACCCCCTAGGCTAAATAAGCTTATAATTTTAATTTTATATTGTATAGAACACAACATTCAAATATTAATATAATTAATATAATTTTTAAAAAGAGAACAAAAATATAATTATATTTTTAAATTTTAAAATAGAAGATGCAAAAATTAAAGTATTGCATAGTGTTCTTGTTTTGAATATATGAATAAATCAAACTTGGCTCAACTTGTATAGTTATTAGTAGAAAAATTCTCCTTTTTTTTTTTGTGGGTTTTTTTGGAGGAGTTCTATAGCGCAGAAACAGACTCAAGATTATTCAAACAACCACCAAAAATCAGAGTCTGTGAACTACCAGGAATCAAATTCCTAATAGTTTTAATAGCATCAATACTGCCACCTTCATAAACAGGTCCATCAATAACCTGCAGAATCAGAGACAAGAAATGAACTATAAAATCATAAAATGAATCAAAAGTCCTTTAAAAACAATATACAAATGAAGGAAATGAATACATTACCAGCAAAGAAACCCCAGATAAGTCGATGGCATTAAGTGAGATGAGCTCTGTAAGCCTCTCAGGGGTGGAGATGATAAACTCTGGTTCACACTTCCTCATGCTGTCATAATCAAAATCAAACAGCGAGTTGAATGCAGGGTAAGCAGAAATTCAGGTCGATATGATCGTATTTGTTCTAAGCAAGTCAAACTAAACAAGTATTCTTTGAAATGTGTGTGTGTATGAATATATTAAAGTTAATCAGAAGCCTCGCTTCTCGTTATGTAAAAACGGGCATCACCATATTGAGCAAACTAACAAACCCGAGTCTCCAAGTGCATCAAATAACAAAGATTGCTTAATTACACACGGGAAAAGGATAAGATATGGGAAATTTTACTCACCCGTCAATTTGATGGTCTATGGAAGTGCCTGAATGTAGACTGATTGTATGAATTCCACACGCTTTCAAAGGCCTGAAGACTTGGCGTACCTAAGCATATACATATATAATGCATACTCATCAGCGGAATCCTAAAAATTATACAGTACTGCTTTGAATGCTAATAGTTTCTTTCCCCAACCCTCCAAAACTAGAGGTTCTAGGGAGGCTGCATTTTGTTTCATATTTTCAATGAGTGATTCTGTTTCCATAGCAAGAAGACGGTCATATTGGAAATGTGCTCCTTCAAGTGTCACATTGATCTTATGATCTCTAAGTTTTATGCTAAATTTTACAAAACAAGGTTACATGAATATTGAAATTCGAAGTAATAAAAAGAAATCAAGTGAACCTTAATGGCCTCGTGTTGAGAGGGAACCAGGTACAAAAGGAAGGGGTTTGCGGTTGAAAATCCTTCTTCCTCCCGTCTAGTTATAGTATCTGAAGCAGTTGATGCAATCCAAGCAATTTGCTCAACCGTAGAATGGGCATGACTCGTATCCAAAATATTTTTTCCATTTGAATAATGCTTCCAAAACTCAAATCCCCACGGTAGGGCAAAGAACGGTGTGCCCCTGTCATTAATCATGGCTTCATCGTGCTCCAGATCACTCTGAATCATATTCAAGCACATAAGCAGGAATTTTGATGGACAACCTTGGTAATTTTCATAAGCATCGTCCAATAAACTATTTCCAGCTGACAAGAGCGCTGCATTTTCTAGTTTAATAGCATTTCGAGATGCCATTTGCTCATTCTTGAAATTCACAAGAATGGCATTCTGTTCTCGACGAGTAAGATCAGCAGGTCCATTATTTAGGCCAAGATTTCTCGCGTGAATAAGCAACTTGTCTTTCTTGGACCTCATAGATCTTTTCTTTCTGTTCATGGGATCAGATTCCCCTTGTCTGTCATTGAGCCATTTATACAGTTAACCTGTAACTTAAACAGAAACTCCACAGAATTAGCTACTAAGGTTATTACTAATTGGGACAAAACAAAAATAACAGAAGTAGATTCATAAATACAACCAGATACCATGAACAGCATAACACAAAACTTTAACATACAGTTCAATGTAGATATACTGTCATATGATATATGATCACAACATTTACCTGTATATCAATGATAAAGATAACCTAGACACTTAATATATACATAATGCTGCTAGCAATAGTCATCACAACTTGTTGGGCAGGGCAAGTCCACTAGCTAGGGGATTGTTGGGCAGAGACCTAACTAAAAGCAAGATTAAAGCATGTGCTCCATCTCATGGTTATATGTGCAACACGCCCCTCAGTGTGGGGATTCAAACCCATGACTCTGATACCAAATTAAAGTATGTCGTTCATCTCAACTAAAAACCTAAACCTGTACTTAAATTGCACATTAATAGTTATATGCTCAACATTCTAACACCTTACTCTCAAAAAACGGTATAAGAAAATAAAGTTGCTTATTTTCTATAGCTTTTGGCGTAGTGATATTCCAACACAACTCAAAAAATGATTAAAAAAGAAGTTATATCTTCTTCAAGGGACAGATAAAATAACACAAACATTAACTATAGGGCAATCAAACTCTTACTATTCAGCAATGTACTCACTACTACTTCTTGACAACAATATTATCTCAATTCCCAATAGGAATGAATAAACAAAACCCAGATTTCCTTTCCCCAAAAATTTCTCAACTTTCACCTCAGTGTATCAAATTAACCAACCAAAAACTCTCCTTTCTTCCCCATCAACTTCTTCTTTTCCCAATCAAGAGAACAAAAACACAACCTCAAATTCTCAACTTTTTTTCAAAGAAAATCAAAAAGAAGAAATACGCAACCACCCAATGGAGCAAAACTCGGAACGCATTACTTATTGTGGAAAGATTTACCTGACAGACGCGACGTTTGGCGTCGATGATGGAGGCGATCCGAATATCCGATTCTTCGGAACCCTTGAAGAACCGCTTTGTTGTTCTTTCTCGTCGTTCTTCTTGCCCAAGTTGGAGAGCTTTCAGAGATGGAGAAGGCGGTTTATTTATGGAGTTCGGTTTGTAGGCTGTGGCGCTAACATTGAAGAAACAGTACGGAAACCAAAGAAGAGTATCAATCGGAGTGGGTAGGTTTGTTATTGTGGTTAAAACGAAGGGTGTAATTGTAATTTCCCAAATTTGAATTTTATTGGGCTATGTATAATAACCCCAAAACTGTAACCCATAAGTTAGTCTAATGACAAAGTTTGGCAAATTAGTGTTTGGACCACGGTCAAAAACAATGTAATTTTGATGTTTAAATAGAATAATGAACATTTTATGGTAAGATAATGTATTTTATGAGTTAGAAACTTAGAATAATGTATTTATGTGTTAGAATAATGAAATTTTAAAGATAAGATAATATATTTTATGTTTTAGAATAATGTATTTTATGAGTTAGAATAATGTACTTTATGTATTTTTGAACCGTAGTTCATGCAACTGTGTAGACCATGGTCCACGCAATAATGATTTGCAAAGTTTAGGGTGGATCATGATCTATATAGCAACGTGGACCATAATTTAGAAATCATTCTAATTACATTTCAATTTTATTTGAAAATATTACTTTATTTTTCAATTTCATTTTTCACATACACTAGTTTCGTTATAACAATACCAAAGTATCATTTTAATTCACTACATACAGTTTCATTTGACAATGTACATTATTGCATGAGCTCTATTTTTTAATTTCATTTTCCACTTACACTAATTTAATTATAATTATACTGAAGTATTATTTTAATTATACTTTAAGTTAATTTGACAATATATGTTATTGTATGACTCTAGATTTTAGTTTCATTTTCTACATACAGTAGTTTCATTATAACAACACTAAAATATCATTTTAATTCTACTACAATTTAATTTGATGACTATGATCTACACAATGTTGTGTTGACTATGGTCAATTGTATAACAATTGTAGTCTAATTTGGCTTGAATTATTTATTTTGTTAATTTATGGATCGCATTTTGTTTTGAAAAAGTTAAAGCAAAATATGTTCCATAAAATTTAAAAAAAAAAATCGAACTTTTTATATTTGAATTTTTTTTTTCAAATTTAATTTACATAGAATTCTTGATTTTTTTAAAAACTAAATTAAATGTTAGAAGCATATTAAATGTTAGAAGCATCCTTTATAGTATAGTATATTTGTATATACTTGAATAAACGTTAATGTTTTGTAGTACTTAAATAAATGTTCATTTTCTTGCCATTTATTGAGTAGTTAAATAAATGTTGATTTTCTTGCCATTTATTGACTATAGGTATCTAGCCGTACTTTAAATATTTGAAAGTAAAGTCAAAGGAAAATAAATATTTATTCGAATCAATTAAAAAAATGTCTAGTTTGACAAAAAATGTCTTTCTTATATTTTTAGTGACATTTTCTAGATTCTTTTTCATCCCTTTATTCTATTTCATATGTCTTTAAGCTAGTTTCTAAAACATTATTACCACCCTCATCCAATATATATATATATATATATATATATATATATATATATATACACACTAAATTTACACGCGCATTGCCAATGTTTATAATTAAATAAATATTTAAAAATATATCAATGCAAGATTATATATGAAAAGTTCATACATAAGTAATTTAACGTCGAATTTGTTTATTTAAATATGTAACTCATAATATATGAATACAATGTAATATAGGAGATTTATTGTAAATTTATAATTGTTACTAAACTTTTTTTTAAATAGTAACACAAGTAATTTTGTAGCAAAGAATTTTAATATATTTAATGAATGCACATATATACAAGATCAATGAATGAATCAACGGTACCCGTCCTTTAGGTGTTTTGCTCAATGTTCATTTAGTTCAACCATTATTGTTGAATAAATTATTATGGATAATGAAATTCCTAATTTAAGTAATTTTGATGTAGTAAAAAATTAAAATCTTTAATTATAATGTAACCATATTGGACGATTGGTAAATATATTGTAACCCAAAGATCAAAATGCTAAAGAAAGTGTTTGGTTATTCAACAGTTTGAAACAACAATTTGTTCCAAACCACTGAAAATACAAACATTGCAATTTACAATATTTTTACATAGCGTTTGTGAGAATGATTTCCCTAAAACACCTCTATATTTAAAAAAAAAAAAAAAAAGTTTTACAACCATTTCGACTCCTTGAAGAACAAGAGCCAGTTTCGTTGGCTCACTACTTGCCCATCAACGGATAGGCAAGCTTAATTTTTAAAGGAATAAGGTCCAAATTGGCCACTAAACGTAACCTGAAAATGCAATTAGGCCACTGAACGAAAAAAAAAAAAGTACAATTAGGCCACTGAACACTCCAAATGTATGCAATTTCACCTGATAGCAGGTTACCTGCTTACATGGCTGCTGAGTTGACATTTTTAATAATTTTTAAAGAACTTTTAATAATAAATTTTAAAATTTGAAATTTAAAAAAAAAAGAAAAAAAAAAAAAAAAAAAAAAACGACGGGGTGGCCAGCTTTCCCCCTCTTCCTTCGTCTCCGACAGAGACAAAGGAAGAGGGGGGGGGGGGGGAGAGAGAAGGGGTTTTTTTTTTTAAACTTTTTTTTTTAAAAATTTATTATTAAAATTTATTTAAAAATGTTAACTCAGCTGCCACATAAGTAGGTAACCTGCTAAAATTGATGGTAACCTACTATAAGGTGAAATTGCATACATTTGTGTTCAAGTAGCCTAATTGCATGTTTTTGGAGTGTTTAGTGGCCTAATTGCACTTTTTTTTTTTTTTTTCGTTCAGTAGCCTAATTGCATTTTCAGGTTATGTTCAATGGCCAATTTGATCCTTATTCCATTTTTAAATTGGACCCTTGAGGCTCCTTTATAGGAGCCTCAAGGCTCCCGTGCCACTTTTCCCACCGATGTGGGAAAAGTGACAAAACTAAGGGGAGCCGAACGTTCGGCTCCCCATATGTTTTGTTTTATTTTTTAATTTTATTTCTTTTATTAAATTATTAGTATTTTTTTTATTTTTTAAAACAATAATTATTATTATTATTATTATTATTATTATTATTATTATTATTATTATTATTATTATTATTATTATTATTATTATTATTATTATTATTATTATTATTATTATTATTATTATTATTATTATTATTATTATTATTATTATTATTATTATTATTATTATGTATACTCTTAGGTCATTTTACATGTTAATCTAAACAGCTAATTTTTTCAAATATCTTTTTACCCATCGTTATATAATTCGCTAGTCAAATCCGCTAATATAATCCACTAACGCTAATCGTTAACTGCTGATTGTCAAACAAGGACATTGCGAGGTAGTTAATATGATTGGCTTATTAATTATAATTTTTTTAAAAATTTTTTTACATGGTATTAATAAAATACTTGGTAAATAAATACATAACATTATTTTGTATTCTAATTTTGATATTTAATTAAAAATAGTGCACAAAAAAGATAATAGACAATATAGTGAATATAATCAATTGATGAATTTGGATGTAAAGAATTTTTACATTTGAGAAAAATAAAGACAATATAACTAATGAAATTATCTCTCTTAATTAATTTATTGATAATGATTTTTTTTTTTAATAAAGACATTGTAGGGAAAATTTAACGAATATAATCAATTGATGAATTTGAATGTAAAGAATTTTTATATTGGAGAAAATAAAGATAATATAAATAATGAAATTATTTCTCTTAATTAATGTATTGATAATGAATAATTTTCTTTAATAAAGACATTGTAGGGACAATGTAGCGAATATAATCAATTGATGAATTTGAATGTAAATAATTTTTATATTGGAGAAAAATAAAGACAATATAACTAATGAAATTATTTCACTTAATTAATTTATTGATAATGAATAATTTTTTTAATAAAAACATTGTAGGGACGATCTAGCGAATATAATCAATTAATGAATTTGAATGTAAATAATTGTTATATTGGAGAAAAATAAAGACAATATAACTAATGAAATTATTTCTCTTATTTAATTCATTGATAATGAATTTTTTTTTTTGAATAAAGGCATTAAATTAAAGAAATGCATATGTATTATCTTTTGTTGTAGCTACTAAATTATTATTAATTTAACTAGTATTTTCACACATGCGATGCACAGAATAAATTTGTTATAATATTTTAAGAATATTTGGATCGATATACAATTATATAAATTATAACATCGAATGTTATAAAATACAATTGAAGAAATTGACTTGTATCGATTGTATTTTCTGATGTCATCATTGCTTAAATTCAAGCAAATAATTGCCCAATTAATAGTCATTGTGTAGATGTACGCATACAGTGCTGAAACTTTAGACATTTTATATATCAGTGTTTATGATTTGCATTAAGTGGCAAATTTGCTAGTTGTCTAGCAACCCAGTTATATAAATCATTTGCTATCCTAATTTATTTGTATGGAAGATATATTTCTGTGTAGATATATACCGATTTTGTCATATTCGCATAAAAAGAAAACATAATATCATTGGTTGGAATTACACATTATTGAAAACCTCTTTGTAGACAACATTGGTAGTAGCAACAGAATCTTGTCCACCCTCGTCTAGAGCTAACACCTAACATCATTACCAGTATTATTATAAATTATTATAAATTTTATTTTATTATTACATAATAATAATAATAATAATAATAATAATAATAATAATAATAATAATATTATTATTATTATTATTATTATTATTATTATTATTATGAATGTCCTTATATGTCTTTTTACATTTAAATGATAATAGTAAAAAGCTAATTTTACCAAACATTTCGACCGGAGACAAAATGCCAAAAAAATCGTTTGGTTCTTTAGCAGTTTGGAGCAACAATTTCAACCTTGTTAGAAAATCATGTTATTAATTATTTCAATTCAGCTTTTCAACCTTCACAGCACTTAATAGATCCACCATCATTTCCATTGTATTGCTTGTTAGGCTCCAATGTTTCAATAAGACTTTCAGGCACCTGTCTATCCAGAAAGTCCTGAAAGGAAAACAATGTTAGTGACAAATAAGTAACCTCATCAAACAAATCATCATCTTC